AGTAGAGTGACGTGGTCTGTGCACTTGGAACATTCAAGATGGTCCTCTGTCGAAGGCACCTGATGAGAGGCCCCCAGGAGCCTCAATCTGAGGAGCTGCAGGGCAATCTCAGAGCATGCCAAGTGTACATGCAGCTCTGTGTAGGCACTGCCTGTGGCGGAGGGCTCCTCACCGGCTGCCAGGGAGACAGGAGTCAAGGGCGCCAGCATCCTGTTCTGTTGGGCATCTCTGGGTGCCGAAAGCATTCCTAGATGCTGGGAATCTTCTGGTTCTTGGAAACATGTTGCTGGAATTGAGATCAGTCTATCACTTCTGCCAGTTAGTTGCTGCAGGGTCACTTGAACTCATGGCGACCGCATGTGTGTCTGAGAACCGTGCTCCCAGTTTTCTGTGGCTGATTTGTCAGAAGCAGACTGTCAGGCCCTTTCCTGCGGTACCCCTGGGTGGACTCGAACCCCCCATCTTCTGGATGGAAGCTAAGCACATTAAGCATCTGCACACCCATGGGAGTCCTCAAGGCATGGTCATTCCTTTAGCTTTCTCACTTCCAGGTCCTTTACCCAGGGCTTCTCGGAATAACCTTTGCCAGAGAAGCAGCATGGCGCGGGCAGTGGAACCAGACCTCTAATTCTTAATGCCATCTTTGTCACGACCCTGCGTGATGGCAGATGAGGTTCTGAACTGCATCGTGCCTTCATTTTCTCATCTGTGAAGTTTGCGTTGAGGAGACTTAGGTGAGTCCAAGACCAACACCTCATCACCATCCCCAGGGCCACAATGGGGAGTCGGCCTGGTCTTGATTTTACCCCTCAGCAATCCTGTTGGCTCTACTCTTTAACATGCATTCAGAATGTGCCCACCCTTCCCAAGGCCAGCCTGCTGACCTCAGTCGCCCCCCTCGTCTGCTTTCTTGCAGTCCTCTCCTCAGGGGTCTGCAACCCAACAGGCCGAGCCGCCTCAGGAGGCGGACTGCGATGTTTGTCCCTCCAGCCCTGCTGATGGCTTTTCCCTGGACGAGCACAACCTCCAGGACTACAGGAAACGTGACTGAAAACTTGGCTCGCACTTCCTCTTGGCTGCTGCATTTTCCCCTCTAGCACTTACATCCGTCTATATATTTCACTTAATGATTTGATTGTCTGTCTCCTTCCATTAGAAGAGTGAGTTATAGGAAGGCAGGGCTTTTTGTCTCTTTTATTCACTACGGTAGGCAGAGTGCCCAGCACAGTGCCCGGCACATGGGAGACTCAACAAACAGCCGCTGAGTGGACTGATGGCGGGAATGGGAAAACTCAGAGTAGGACCGGGGCGACGCAGGGAAGGGTCCAGGATATGTTGTTTTTTAATGGTGCTCTTTTATGTCACAAATCTTGGTTGTCTTTCGGAGAAGGGTTTTATTGTGTCAAGAACTTTCACAAAAATCCACAGTGGATCAGGGTGGGTACTGCTGCACTACCCTGGTGGTCCGCAGTGAACACACACACACACACACACACGCACACTTAAAATGTATCATTTAATTTTGGTCTAAGAAACTGATGCCAAATGAGGATATCTGACCAAGCCTGAGCAGTCCAGAAATACGGGTTTTGACAAGTCACTTCTGAACCTGTTAGTGGTGGTGACAGAAAGCAGGGATCTTACAGCAAGCTTTTGTTGGGAGGCTGCCGTGGACCATGATTGGTTATGTGGATTAGGTAGCGCTTGGGAACTCAGACAACGTTCATATTTACACGCCTTTTAGTGTCACTTGTGTAGAGTTTATATGCTGCTTCCACCGGACGTTTGTTTCTACCAACCAATATGACACTTATATTGCTAGGGAAGCTAACAGCTGAATAAGTTATTTTTATTCAAGACGGTAGGCCAATTTTACATATAACCAAAAAACCAGACCCCCACCACCAGGTTGATTCCAACTCACAGTGACCCTATGTATAGGGTTTCCAAGGTTTTGTAAATCTTTGTGGGGGCTGACAGCCTCGTTTTTTCTCCCTCAGAGCAGCTGTCAGGTTTGAACCAACAACCTTGTAGCTCACAGTCTCTAAAGCTGAAATCAATGATAGCACCAGCAGGGCTCCTAATTTTACATAATGACATGCAGATATAAATATTGGTACGTAAATGTATTTTCCCGCATGAACATATGCAGACATAAATAAATTGGCTTTCCTTGATTGAAATGCGGATGTTAAGATTAGAAAAATGGAGACCCAAGTGTAGACACTTCTTTCTGAAACTGACTGGATTACTGGAGCCATAATAAAAATGTCCAAACATTTAGTACGGCTACATTTTGGGGTCCCTACTGCCATACGTATTTTTGAAAATTTGAGTGGCATTCTTGCTATACTCCTATTTGCAGTTGTTGTGAGTCTCCATTTACACACACACAAAGTGACGTTGATTCAGTTCCGACTTTTAACCCCGTGTGCCATCAAAGGAAACACTGCCCCGTCCTGTGCCAGCCTCACAGGGACGGTTACGCGTGAGCCCACTGGTACAGCCACTGTGTCGATCCATCTCCTTGAGGGGTGGGCTCCTCTTTCACTGCTCCTCTACTTTACCAGCGTAACGTTCTTCTCCAGGTCATGTTCTTAGCTGCCATCCAGCCAGCCCTGACCGTGGCGACCACAGGCACAACAAGGAAAGGATGCTGGCTGGCCTGGCACTCATTTCTCAACCCAGGGTGATCCACAGTGTTCCCACTGGCTGACTCTCAGAAGTGGATCGCCAGGCATTTTTTCTAGCCAGCAACACAGCACAATACGTCACTAACACATGGGTGGTGGCTGCCCATGGAGCGCATTGACCAGAAACTGGACATGGGTCTCCTGCATGGAAGGTGAGAATTTTATCGTTAAACCACCACGACCTCTTTCATGTGCATCTCAGAAACTCACTGCTACTGAGTCGATTCTCACTCTTAGCAACCACAGGACAAAGCAGAATTGCCCTGAGGGTTTCTGAGAGTAGGAAGCCTCATGCTTCTCCTGTGGAGTGGCTAGTGGTTTAGAACTGCTGACCTTGTGGTTAGCAGTCCAGCATGTAACTCACAATGCCGTCATACACACACTCTCGTGTGTGTATGTGTGTGTGTACAGGCTTCAAAAACTTCCATTATTTTTAATTCTATTTTTTTCACAAACTTTTTAAAGGGCTCTTGTGGAAACACACACACACACACACACACACACACACACACACCCCCACACACCCACACACCCCTTTCAAGTACCAAAGAACTACAAACATTTAAAATATCATTTTCTTTGAACAAATTACAGTGATTTACATTTTGGACAAGCTAGTAAAGTCTACAGCTGAGTTTAGTCCATTTCTTTATATTTTTCAAGGGCGTGCCAGTGATTTAAACACTATTCAAAGCACCAGTAGTAATAAAATAACAAGAAAAAGGACTTCCTGTTGGCACTTCCCACCGTATGTGAAGTAAAGGGAAACCTGATTGAGTACTGACATTCCTTGTACTCTGAATTAAACAGAGCACCACCAGCAGCCCCGGGAGACGATATTAAGTTTTGTGCTGGGGTAACGCCGGGAACTCTATCGGCCAGGGCAGGATCATGTTCACCTGGCCAAAAGCCAGGTGAATTTCACACTCGTCCTAGAGGTAGGTGGTCAGAAACTCAATTCCTGTCATCGCAGCTATTGGCCCTAGTTGCTTAAACTACCTGGAAATCCGCATCGTGTGTTATTCATTTTGAAGATAAAATAAACTTTGAAGAAATGAGATTAAAAACCAGGCAAAGACCATTTGGTTTCATGAAAGAGGAACGGAGTTAGAATCAACCCCTGGGCAACACCACCCCTGGCCCCTAAACCAAACCCAACCCCCACCCCACCACCACCACCACCAAAACAGGGCTAACCAGGTCGAGCACATCGTATAAACCCAAAGCATTGGGTTTTTGTGGAGGTAGGTTTCAGCAGGTACTGAGGTGTTGGCGTTATTTCCTTCGGACAAAGGACACAGAGAAGAGGAGGCACGGAAGGGACTCCTGGAGATGTCTGCTGTCCCTGCAACAGCATGCGGTGCCTCTCTCGAATAAACCTAACCACATAGAGTTTCTGAATGTGTCTGCATTCTGCTCACATGCTGTCAGATAAAATCTCACCGAAATGATCTATACGCCAGACTCAAATGTGAGTGGTTCACGGGCCCTACTCCGGGGGTGGCCAACACACAGAGAAGCCGGGAGAGGCTTCCTGCGCTGCGGCGAAACCGCCGGCTGTGGTGGAGCTCACGTTACCATGATCTGCAAGGGGCTGTGAGGTCACAGGAAATCCTGAAATGTTTGTCACGTTTTATGTCAAATTTCCTGCACCTGAAATCAGAAACCCTCCTACCGCTCGGAGGCTCTTCTGAAGGCTGGGGGAATCATCCGACATCCTGCATGGACACCTGGTAACTCGATTCCTACAGACCTGACAATCAGCTAGGCGGTGAGGCTGAGCACCCATCAGGACAAGGCTGTGCTGTCAGACGCCCCAACCTATCCAGAATCAGAACCACGCGAATGTCGCTAGTGGGGCACAAAGAGTTGCATCTAATCTAGTGACAGCCGACGTTCCTTTTGAAGAAAGAGAGGAGGACTGATGATGGAATGAAAGAAATACGCTCACTGGGCCCTTTTCTTAATCCAAAATGTATTTGTGGATTTACGGTCTAATTTTAAAATGGCCTATTCTAAACCAGAGATTCCTAACATGGTTCAAGTTGCTGGCAACCATATTTTACTGTTACCTTGTTATGAAAGGAAAAGTCGGATTTAAATAAATGGCTCCATTGAAAAGGGTCCCTTCGAGATGGATCACTTGCCCCTGTGGAATTCTATAAATAGCTTTTGAATCGTCAAGGACCATGTTGAGATAAACTAAGACAGGGAAACGCAGGGCCCACCATGCATTAACGAAGGGATGCTGATGTTCCTCTTTTTACGGCTTGCTTGGGTCCCGAATGAACAGCACGGAAACGTTACCTCTCCAGACATGTCAGGGGCCATCGGAATAGTGGGCCACAGCGATGAGTAGATGCCAAAGAACACCACCCAGAGGGTGATACTGCCCCAGATGGCTAAGTGGCTGAACTGTGAAGGAAAGAAATGTGTATCAGAGCACTTTCAGGTGGACTGGTACCCAACACAGGTGACGTTTTCACACATCCTCCTGTCAACGTTTTAGGGCGTCCAGAACAATATTATCTGTAGGAAGAGTTAAATGACTTCTTTTCCTTTACTCAATCTTTTATTAAGTGCTAATCTCATCCAGGGTGCTCCTGGGCAGTGCCAATAGTCTGAGCGCTTGGCTACTAACCTAGAAATTGGTGGTTCCCTCCCACCCAGTGGTAGCACGGAAGAAAAGCCTGGTGGTCTGCTTCTTGAAGCCACGTCTATGAGAGACCTGGGGAGTGTGGTCATAGTAGGCACCACAAGGGGTCGCCATGAGTCAGTGTTGACTCAGTGGCAACGGTTTTGGGTTTTTAAACTTCTTCCACACTGTTAGGATGGTCGTGCTACTGCGGTGTACACCGAACTGTTGCTTCTCTAGGCCCTTTGGTGGTTCTGTCTTCTTACCAAACCTTTCTGCATCCCCCACTATCTTTAGGAGGACCCTGGGATGTCATGGTGATGTGCTGGGCTGGGATCTGCAAGGGCAGCAGCTTACAACCAACCACCAGCCACTCCGTGGGAGAAAGACGCGGCTTTCTACTCCTGTACGGAGCTCCACTCTTCTAACTGCCGAGAAGCAGCTCTCCCCTGTGCTATCGGGTCGCTGGGCGTGGGTTGGCACTGCCGTCTTTAAGCTTCCTTTCGTTGTGCTCTGTATGCTCTTGCTGGAAGATGTCAGACATGCGGAAGAATAGCACTTGGATACTGAGTTTCCTGTAAGTCCAAATGACCATCTAACTTTCATTTCCTCTGCTGACTGGGTCTCTCTGCCTGGATGCGCTGATTCCCCGGACAAACAAACCTACCTAAAACGGAACTTATCCACAATATCTGCCAACAAATCTCCCCCTAATATGTTGGGTCTTCAGCCTCCATTTCCACTGAGATTTCTGCAGATTGGCGCTCTTGTGACATATGCCACTAAGAAAGGGTTCCCAGGCAAATACAGATTAAGGGCTCTGTCCTTCCTAGGCTAGTCAGGCTCTGAGAAATTGCATGGCAAATAAACTTATTAAAAGAACAACCTTCAAAGAACCAGATGCTATTAAGTGGATTCAATGTGTGTCAGAACAGAACCGTGGCTGATTTTGGGGGGTGGGGGTGGGGAAGGGGGGGCGTGGTAAGATTGAAAGCCCTTTCTTTAGGGATGCCTCTGAGTGGGATCAAGCCACTGATTTTTCAGTTAATGTTCAACTGTTTGCACCATGCAGGACTACCCAATAAATGAACTCACTAGAACCCCCAGGTCCCCCCTCAACTGGTTGCTGCGACTCCCCAGTCCACACTCTGTGGACCCGGGGTAACAGGATACCACATGCCATTAGATTCAGAAAGAAAAAAAAGAAAAGGAAATATCGCCTAAGCAAATGAGACAGCTCTTGGTTATAATTAGAGATACTCTTACCCAGGTCCAATATGATGTCTCCAATCCAGCTTTCAAACACACAGTAATCACCACAAACTGAAAAAGAAGGGGAAAATGTTATTTCCTACTGACGACCAACGAAGGACTGTGAGGTTAGTGGTGAAGTGGTCTCCATGGGTCAGACCAGGGGGTTGGTACATTATTAGCAGTTGGTGCTGGATGTCCATTATGACTCTGAGGGCTCCGAACTGCAGGCACCACACGCCCACGGCCCCTGCCTGCTTCTCTTCACCGTCACAGCCGGATGGTCCATCCCCGGGGCTGCTGCTCTGAGCCTCCCCTCCAGTGATGCTTATATCAAACAAAGATCTTGAGGTGACTTTAACCTGATTAATGCCATTGCCAATCCTTGACTTTCTAACATTTAAAGATGCCATGAAGACAAATTAGTTGGATATTAAGGAATCTGAACACAGACTCCGAATCTCTATTTCAAACCCTGTCAAGTAGGCTAGAGGAGTCTGCTACTCCTGCAATGATGCACATGCCCAGTGGCGGTGACTTTGCTGCTAACTGTGGAACAGGGGAAAGCCCCCCCAAAACCACTGCTATGGAGTTGATTCTGACTCCCCAGTAACCCTCAGGGCAGGGTGGAAGTATTTCCTAGTATTTCTGAGGTTGTAAATATTTATGGGAGCAGAAAGTCTCTTCTTTCACCCATGGAGTGGGTGGTGGGTTTGAACTACAGACCTTGTAGTTAGCAGCACAATATAACCCACTACACACTTCAGGGCTCCTTTAGAACAAGGAACCAGGAGAGTAAGGATTCCATGCAGACGTCCTGCAGTCAGACCGTCTGTGCTTAAGACACCATTGTTTGGTAGCTGTTTTGATTAACAAGGTGACTTACTTCACCTCTCTGTGTCTTCTCCATCTGTAAACTGAGACTAATATAGCATGCCCAGATCAGGTTGCCTTTCTTCACTTATTTTAGTACAAAATATGACACGTGAAACATTTGAAACAGAGGTCAGTCATAACTCTTACTTGCATTGTTTGGTATTTCTAATTTATAATAGCCAACGAACCCTGGTGGAGCAGTGGATACGCTTTGGAGTGCTAGCCACGAGTTCAGCAGTTCAAAACCAGTCGCCAGTCCTAGGGGCACTATGAGTCAGTATCAACTCTATGGCAGTAGGAGAAAGGATAAATAATCAAATTTGGTCAAATGAACTCTGAGTGTTTTCGCCCTCTTTGTGGCGAAGCTTGCCTAGCATTGGCAACGAATAGATGCTTGCAGTGCCTCACCACACTTCAAGGTGTGTTCAGGTTTGCCCACAGTGTCTGTGTCCGCACTGTGACCCAGTGGGATCATAGAGTTCAGGGGAAAGTGAGACAGTTGGCCTTTCCCAGCAGGTGACAAATGGAAATTCAGGATTAATGCCTTTGGAAGGAAGGCACTTATTAAAGTGTAACAATTAAATTAAGCTCTGGAAAAATTCTAAAACGAGAGTTTAAAATAAATGAATTTCAAATACCCCTCTGGGTCCTACGGCACTTCAAAGCACCCATAGGAGAGGCCTGTGATGTACTGTGTAGTTGTCCTGTGCAAAGGAGGTGACTTTGACTCACTGCGATGCTTGGTGCCAGCGCAGAAGCGCCCCAGGGTCTGGGGGCTGTAACAGTAATGGGAGCAGGTTCATACGGTAAGCACTGGTTGGATTCAAAGGGCCAGTCTCTTAGGTAGTAACTGATTGCTTAACCACATTTGCCAGCAGGTTCCTTCCCTGGAGAATTCCTACCTCACTCCACCCATGATTTACATATTTTTGATTTGCAATCATGCTGTCAAGCCCTCAGCCCCCAAACCTACTGTTGCTTTTCCCCATAACTACTGCAGTGGGCTGATGTCCACAGAAAGGGGGTGCCCGTGATGCCAAACCCTTTCTTCCCTCTGGGATCTTCACTTCCTCCCATTTAGCTGTGTCCACAGTGGAGAGTGAAATCCCACTGAGCAATTTTCCTACCAATGGCATCAGCCAATCAGACTGCTCATTCCTCTCAAGAACAGTCGGCGCTTTGTCCAGCCTGGGACAGGAGTCCAGACGAAGAGCCTTGGACGGGGAATTTGGTGTTGAAGGCTGGAGCAAACTTTGATCGGATACTAATTGTGTGACCTTGGGCATTAGCATTCAAACAGTGCATTTGACTTTCCAGGGGAAAGTGGCTTTCCAATGCTGCCCGCTGGTTCAGTGCCAGGGATGGACTCGCATATATTGGAGTACCCTGGGCAAGCACATGGCAGACTGACTTGTGGGCACAGTGGCTTGTGGGCCAGCACAGGTCGCAGGCCCCACAGTCTAGAGATTTTCTCCTACCTTAACGACCACCAGACTCCACAGCAATGACTGGTCTCAGGTCTAAGAATGCGACTATTTGCTATAAATTCTGGAAATCAGTGACAGTCAGACCACATCAAACTCACGGCCATCGAGTTGATTCCGACTCATGGAGACCCTATAGGACCGGGCAGAACTGCTCCTGTCTGTTTCTGAGACGGTAATTCTTACCTGGAATAGACAGGCTCATCTTTCTCCTGTCATCGATAATGGAGGTAAAAGGCCAAGGAAGACAAATAAAGCCAACTGAGGGGCCGGGGCGGAGGTGAGGCAATAAGAGTAAAGACGGGATATTGAAAACAGCCAAGGTCCCACATGGCCAAGAAAGCTAGATGCTGTTTTAAAAAGGTCACGTACAATAGTCCTTAAAAGTCAAAATATCTTACTTTATTTTCAAAGGGAAGTGTCAACTACCCTGAAATTCACAGAGGCCCCCATTTGAGTGTAAAAAGCAGGAATGAATCTGGTTTGCATGCAAATAAGGCAAATATCCTCACTCACAGTGTAAACAAAGTTTCCTAGGAGCAGATAATCGGAGGTTTTCCCATTTCCAAACACGGTACCTGCATGAAAAGAAGAGAGGTCTGTTAGAGAAGAAAATGAATGCGGTCCTTTCAGGATTCTTTTGAGAGAAAGTCACAATGTTCGAGAAGAAAAGAAGGAGAAACCAGAGGAATAGAGCCAGAAATGAGGCCACTTCAAAAACACTTTATAGAGTCTGACACCGTTGCTATAAAGATGGGTTGCACATTAAACCTTGACCACTAAATTTCAAACAGTTAAAATATGGAGAGAGCTGACTTGATAAGCAAGTCTCAGGGTCCACACCCAAATAATAAATAATATTATTAATAATATTAATAATAAATAATAATTATTTATTATTTAATAAAATAATAAAAAAATCCTACTGCTCTGGGCATTAGGCCAGGAGAAGGCAACTCTGACCTCTCACTAAGAAACTTTGTGAACAGTTTGGGTGAGAATCTTAGGGAGCTGCCTTAATATCCTTCCATAAACCTGTTGGCATTGGACCAAGCAGGATTTATAAAAGCACCTTGAGGAGGGCTGGGGAGCACCAGTGAGACCAGATACATGGGCCTCTGATGGGGTGACTGGTCCGCAGTGCCCTTCACAGGCCTCTGTTAGTCTCGCGATGACTGGAAAACATGGCTCCCGAGGAAGCGGGCAGTCCCTGCGTGGTGCAAACGGCCCTCGGGCTCAGTAGAACCAGTGAAAAGACGGAAGGTTGGAACTTGTGCGGAGATGACACCCAAGAAAGGCCTGGCAATGTAGGACACCTGCGGACGACCTTCAGGTGGGGCAACACGCTTCTATTCTGACGCACCTGGGGGACCATGAGCTGGAACTGACTCCGTAACACCTGGTGTTAGTTGGGGAAGGGGTGTTGACTAAGACTTACTACCACTAATGGAAACAAACAAACAAATCAAAATAGTGAAACAACCGAATCATTTGTTCACTGGCACAGCTGAACACTGACAAAGCCATGGTAGGGTGTAAAGCGCTATTTATAGGCACCTCTTCTACAACAGGTATTCAAAGCCTAATGTGGCAGGACTAGGGATGTTAGAATCAAAGGCGGATGAACCAGGCCAGGTGGTGCTGGTGTGGACCTCTTCCCATACCAGAACGGACAGAATCCTTAATGATCATGTACGAGATAGCTGTAATTTCCCCCAGGGTATTATTTCGTAGGCTATATGGATCTTATGCATTATTCTGTCAAATCTTTCTACATCGAAGTACTGCATTACTTATTAGTGACGGAGCGGAGGCCTTTTCCAAAAGTTTTCTCTGTGAGGTGGCAGCTGCAAAATGCTGTGAAAATGCTAAAGCCACCGAATTGTACGCTTCAAAGGATGCACGTTACGGTATGTGAATGGTATCTCAAGTCATACCATCATCATCAGCTCCTCCTCCTGGCCTTCCGGAATTGTCTTATCTCAGTCATTTCGAGGGCTAGACGATAAGACACTTGCTATTGCACTGGTAGCTCGAGCAATTGGTAAAGAGAGAAGAAAGTCCCAGTCTACGCCATGAAACCTGCTCTATAATCTCAGATAAGTCGCGGGGTCTCGGGAATTCATGGACGATTTACCGAGGGCCCAGCAGGCACTGCGACGACAAGTGTGAACTAAATGGACCCTTCTGTGCCCTCCTGCAGCTTTGAGAAAGACAAGAGCACACACACAAATACATCTTAAACGTACTAGGAAAACTCTAGGAAGAACACCCGGATGGCTTGGAGGACAGTGAGGGGGCCTGGGGTGGGGGCGGGGGAGCAGGGGGCATCTGGGAAGGCATCCCTGAGCAGAGACTTGAGGGAAGCGAGGGAGCTTCCTGAGCATCTGAGACAGAGATGAGGCGGCCGCCAGGGGACCAGCACTGAGGCCCTGTGAGGGGAGAAACAGAGGCTGCGGACTGTGGATTCTGTTCCAGACGCGCTGGGAGTCTTTGTGGGTTTGTGAGGCAGGAGGCACCTGGTCTGACTTACATTTTACAAGGAGCACTCTAGCTGCCTGTGGAAAAGAGACCGCAGGTGGACAAGAGCCCACAGCCATCTGTTCGGTTGGCCATCAATGACTCATGAGACAGGGCCAGGGCGGACGTACAAAGGATTACCACGTCTGTGGGGTGGGGTGTGCATGGCGTTTCATGATTGCCTACGTCCCCTTCCCACCCCTAGGTGATGTCAGCTCCTGGACACAGCAGCACCCACTTAAACATCACAGAGATCTCATTCCTAAAACGACCACTTAATCATTTTTACGCATAGAGGAAATACACCATGATCCTCTCTCTCAAAGCCGACGCAGTGAAATCACTCCCTTCACGTGAACAGAGAAAACGCTTCTCCTCCAAGATGAATATAAAAGCATTAAAATCCCATTCAAACATCAGCTCAAGTACACGTGAAAACACTGGCATGTCTGATTAGGTTCAATATCAAGAATTTAATACAAGTCCCACAGGCATGATAAAGAGAGCATAAAATATTACCACTTACTGTCTTCCAACTATACATCAACAGGGGTGGAGTGGGGTGGAGAGCCTAAAATTAATTCTCTGCAAGTTTGAAAAACATGAAGAGTAAAGAAGAAAAGCTTTGCGTATATTAAATCACTTTGCTCCCCAAGGGAGAATAACAATCTTTAACGTGTGTACGACTTCGGGATGCATGCAATTTCAGTTACAGAAAATACCGTCCAAAATGCACAGCTGTACTTTTTAACACACGCTGACAATGAGTGATTTTTCTAAGAAAAGGAAAGAGTCATCTCTTAGCATTCATATCCTTTCTACTTACCATACTGAAGGGCTTTTAGTGGAAACCAAAACAGAATAACTGAGTGGAAGAGGCCATTTAAACAATGAACCCAGAAAACCTGGGGGAAAACAAAAAATCCATGAGAACCATTTGCGATAAACTAGCTCCGTGAACCCTGACCCTTCTTTTTATCTGCGAGCTAGATTCACAAAACGTGTTTCTGTCGGGCCACCGCTGTGAATTAATAGAACTGACAGACACTTTCTGCCTCTTAGACCTTCATGGGTCATTTATTTATTTTTATGTTTCTCAAAATGTTTTTTCAGCTTCACTTCAAGTTTTTTCCCCCATTAGTTTTTAAAAGGCAAGCATCAGAAGTGTAATTTCTTGCCTGAAAAAGAAAATAAAATTTAAAATAAATGCAGGCCATTATATTCCTTAAGGAGAGCTATTTTCCTAATTCTAGAAGAATAGACTGTTGAGAAGACTGTAATTTGGGGAAGCCCCTCCCTTCTCCTTCCCATGTGTAACAGAAGTATAAACTTTTGAATGTTCAGAATAGCATGCATTTTCTCTCTTTACATATATGCATACAGTACATATACACACATTATACAATAAAATATTAAACGTGATATTTAAGTGGTCTAGTCCCTTAAAACAAAGCATTCTGACTATGACTGTATTTATAAAAGGCTTTCACAAGTTCTTTAGCACCTGTTAGTACCAAGTTTCATAAAACGATAGCATCATTAGTAGCGGTTACTTTCTCATTAATGGGATTGCAAGAACAGAGAGCAAGCTATCTGGTTCTCTCTTTGTAACGAGGGTGTGAGATTAAGTTATAGAAACACTGTTGAAAATTCTCATGTCCCTTATGTTCAGAAACAGTTGTAGCTTTGTCACTTAAAAGCATTGCTTGCAAACCAAATGTATGCTAAATAAAATTGGCATGTATTAATGGTTCTAAGCTGTTCAAACAACAGAAATTAAGTTGCCTGCCTCCCAAAATTTTCCACTGTGATCTCAATCTCCTTTGTTGGCTCACTCGGGCACATTGCATTGTATGATCCAATTGACGCTCCAATACATTACACATTTGAACTTGTGTTACTCATTAACCTTTGTCTCTTCTCCTCACTATGTCATTACCACACGTTTTTATTTGACAGAAAGCACAGGTGGGTGCAAGAAAAATTAGTTCTACTTTCCATTTTCCTGACCGAACTTATTGTCACATGCTAATCCTTTAACCCCTGTCATGACCTTATAGCCTCTGACCCTTTTTACCATAACAAACGTGAGCACCATCATTCAGGGCAACAATGCTCTGGACTCACAGAAACTGCTGTGTATATGACTGTGCGGTTTGCACCCACTTGTCTCTGAATTTTCAAACACTTATATGGGATTTTACTGAACAATTTTCATTGAAATCATTAAAAATATATAAATATATATATAAATATCTATACCTTATAAAAATGGTTGGCTACTGTGTCTAAACATGCTGAACGTTCTCATAGGCATGAACATTGCATGACTTATTTTGGCTCATCCGGTGACTTTTCTACATGCGTGACCACTATATATAATAAAATACGTTTGGACAACAACCGCTTAGTAAAGGGTCCAAGGAATGATGCTCTCCCATTAAAATGCCACTACCTGCTCCATTCTTCACCTAGCCACCAAACTGTGACCAAGCTGCATGTGCCATGGCCTGAGAGCATGATGAAAAGATGTGGCTTTTCAGGGATGGCTTTGCTCAGTCCTGGAGGGGATCGAGTTATGTGTTCATGCAAGAGTGGCACGGGCAAGTTTGTGGCGCAGAAGGTGGCTCAGGAGATGCCATTCTGGGCACTGAGCTACGGTACATTGTGACCTGTGGCTGATTTGATGTAAGCGTCTACATGGTGAGGATGATTGCATTCGGCCAGCAGGCTGGGGGATTTCGTTATTCCCAGATTACTTTTTCAGGGAAACAATGCTCAGTCCACTGTATCAGCCCCAATTGTGGCTTTCCATCATCTGGAAACTCCCTCATGGGTAATGAACAGAAAATTTCAGCAATGTGGTAAAATGTTTTACACAGTGGGCATCAGAAACAAATCCAAAAATAAAACAAATTCAAAAGTAAGAGCAGAGCCATTGCATATTAAGAACAGAAGTAGTAACGGGGACCACTGGGTGAGGGGACGGGGGGGGGGGGGGGGCGGGATATTTTTTGGAACCAATGAGACCAATCAAAGCAATCAAAGAATGCTTAAGCTTTGGAGTGTTTAAAAAGAATACTGAAGTGGTGTGGACACATGTACGCCCACATTCGGGGAGATCTAGACTCAGTAGAACAACCTCTTGGCTACACACTTAGTCCTATCACGTAGGCCCCCAAAACACCCTCTCCATTTATTTTACTGGTATGCTGAGAATGTGTCACTGGGAAAATTGAGGAGTTAATAAATATAAAAAATATATTCACTGTCCTATAGTCAAAATGCTAAATTTCGGCTACATCTAAGCAATGGTATGCTAAAAAAGAGTGTGTTATATTAAATTGAAAAAAAATTGGTGAAGGGGTAACTTGATTGCTCTTGTTAAACTAATAACACCACAAGTACTGGTATTACTATTTCAAAATAGCATCTACCTTCATTGTTTTAAAGTGTTTTCTGCTTCGTACACTATAGAAACCAGAATCATTAGCAGAGTGGTGCAAAGGGCTTTCAAAGTGAATTCTGTAGACAACGAGCTGTGTTTGATGCTGGGTCGGAGACCTGTCGCAGACTGTGCGAGATGACAGTCGCCCGCGGCTGATTACACAGGACATGCGCTCCAAGAGCCTACGTGAGTTTCACTCACTTCTTATTCCCCCCCGAATCTTGAAACAGTGAGAGGGTCACTAGGTGAGCTACTCTCCAGGGACCCTCACCCTTTGATGCCCAATAGAAATAACATAAAATTCTAATGGGGAAAATGGCATTCTCCAAAGCAGACAACTAATAAAGAACGACATCAGAACAAATGAGAGCGAGCCCTGGTCCGTCCAGAATGACTCCCCGGAGGAGCGGGTGCTTCCCCGGAGCACGGCAAGGACAAAGAGTCAGAGGCCAGGATTGCGGCGTCTTTGCCTCCACACCCAGCTCTCCTGCTGCCTGGCAAAACGCCTGCGAGGTGTTGTGGCTGCATTTTAATTTTTGCACCAAACAACCTTCTCGGTTCATCTTCGAACTCTTAGCTAATGTGCCCTCCCATGGCTGGCCACCTCGTGTCGGATTAGCATCTCTGGGGTGGGAAGACCAGCCCCCCGCCGTAGGAGGAAGAGTAAAGACAGCCCCACGGAATCAACGTCCGGGGCCGTGCCTTACCTTGGTGTTGAAGTCCAGCGCATTCTGAGATGTTTTGTATAATTCGGGGTACTTCAACATATTCTCTTTTCTGCAGGATCTCTCAAATATCCCCAGAGTTAAGGGAGGCATCGCTGTAAACATCTAAAGAGCACAAACCAGTGATTACACCAAGCAACCAGGCGCAGCCTGACCGTTTATCTCAAAGTAGTCAACAAACTGGGAATGGTCAACTGTCCGAACTTACCACATTGTAAAGACCTATACACCATCGTTCAAAGAGGATCTGTCCGGAAAAGCCATTAACAAAGGCAAACCAGATCTAGGAGGAAAGCAGCACAAATCCCCAAATTAGGACTTTAAAACCGAAATGCATTGCTTAGAATCTGTTGCACATCACCTACAAGGGACATTAACAGAGTATTTTTGCAATTCTTTTAAACTTGCTATTGCTTTACCTTATAAAGTATTTTGCTATTTAAGTTTTTACAAGTATAAGGCAGAATTTATTCTAGTTGTTAAATTTAAAACAAACAAAAACAACTTTCTCTAAACTTTATGTTAGGAGAAAAAATAAAGATTTTTAAAAAGTAAATGCAACCTTGTTTCTGGAAAGTATTTTTCGATCTTGCTCCTTCGATGATTATGGTTTAGTTATTTATTATGAAACACTTGCTTATTTAGAAAGCACAGAAAATAAAACAATAATTTCCTGTAACAGTAATGCAATGACTATTTTCTTTTGCATCGGCTGTAGTCATAATTCACGTATGTATCATCACAGACGCACCTTCCTGGAAACCTGCTGTCTACAATGCCAGTGCCAGCTCTGCCCCGCCATCAATGCTACTTAACATGTACTTTTAAAGTTGTTACGTATTCTTTAAAACTCTGTTAACAGATGGCTGACCTCTATACCGTGGATGTAATTATTTTTGGACAATTTGCTTGCTTCCAATTTTTGTTATTATAGGTAATTCTCATTAAAACTCTTGTGCAGGAATCTTACATCTTTCTGTTTTCTTAGGATGGATTTTGAGATCTAGGACTAATGTGTCAAAGTATTTGCAGAAGAAAATCTTTATAATTCTTGCTTAGTGTTCTCACCAGAAAGTTACATCTGGACTAAGCCATTTTTAAAATGAAATTGGATGCCTCATAAAAATAAATCTTGAACAACTTATATATAGCTGCAATTCTCTTAAATAGCTTAACACTGGAAACACAATGGAGAAAGTTTTCTGGAGCATGAAATGAAAAATTAAAATGCCTACCAGTAATTCCATGCTACCTACATTATAAAAAGGAAAGAAAAGAAACAAACAGACAGAAATGGTAATTTAAAATCAAACTAATTAGAAAGAGTAAAAAGGCTGGCCCAGAAGTGAGATTACAATAAATGCAAACAATACAATAAAGTCAAAACATAACATTCACAAGCAACGGTTCAAGGAAAGCAGCCTTGACATGCCGCTCAAGGGGATGTTTGACTCGGAGCTGCAGGGACTTTGCTACACTTCACGTTTCACTTAACCTCATCATGGAAGGACGAGTTGCTACAAATTCACCACTTGTCAATGTGTACTCAGGCTGGCCTCCCGATGAACGCTTTCTGGACCCAAACTGATCTACCTTCTTCGCCTGGAAGGGCATGATGCAGCGTGCATAAAAACAACAACAACGAATGTGCTGTGACATGGAAAAGACAAGAGTAGCCCTACACTTCCAGCAGACTGCCAACTCACAAGAGCGCAACATGCAAATTGTGCCGGATTCGTCACAGACATCATCAGCAGAACAAGCGCAGAGACACCCCGGGTGATGTCAGAAATTCTTACATGCTTTGTTATATGTATTTTCAGAAAAATTCGGAACATTTGCCTTAAATCAGGGGCCAGACCATTTGCGTCTGCAAACTTTCAAGGACCGAGCATGCCCACCAAGTTTATTCTTAGGGTGCTTCTGCTGCTGACTTCAAAGGATTTCCCCCTCCAGTATTAAGCGGATACAAGTTGACAAAGCAGACTTTCATGCTCCGCATTGTATTTTCACATGTGACCTTTCTGAGGTGTGGATTATGTAAATACATATTTGTGATACTCGGGGTGATGGTGATGGCCGTTGAGCCAGAGAAGGCGACTCATCTGTGGTCTTAATACGAACTCAGAGGCTCTGTCTTTGGGTCTGATGGAAACAGAAGGGATTTTAAACACACATTTTCACCGATGGCTGCTTCATCTCTTAAGAGTTGTCCAAACTTTGTTGGCCTGAAGAAAGCCAAGGTTCTACATGCATACCAAATTCATCTAATGGACACAATCTGGCACCAAGATAATGCATCTGCAATATTGTACATACTATGCTTATGTTAATAAATTTGTGTGGGGCAAGCGTATGGAAGTGGGGACGGTACCCTCGCTTCATGTACATAACAGTCATCGCTGACTCAAAAACTTGAAATTTAATACCCTCCTTTCAAATCCATTTTTTCTTCCTTCAAATCAATGATTTAAAATGATTTTTAGATGAAAAATTTTGCAAACTAATAGGTTTCAGCTCAACATTTATGCTCAAATACGACACTGCAGAAATGAAACATTTTTACCGGGGTCCCAAAACAGCATTTTTCACTTAAAAAATTTTTCCTGCTGGAAGGTACATGGATACTAACTTGCTTGTGTTTGTGTTTGTGTTTGTTTTGTTTCTTTAAACTTCACTTTGGGTGTTTTTTTTCAAAAGCTACTATTTTAGCTTCTTTAAAAATGTTTAAAAGGAAACATTACAAGAGAAGGTTTCTCACACCTTCCTACCACCATTTTGAAATTCAAGTTGATATATTTTGAAATGGAAAGAGAAGGTGTTTTAACCATGTAGGAGCTTGCCCAGAGGCCAATTTCAAGTTAGTCTGTGGTAACTAGTTAAAATCCAAACCCTGAAAACAGAAAGAAAACATGCACCCCTGGAGGAGGCAGGGGGACTCAGGGTTACTTAACAGCTTCACCAACCGACAGTGCAATTTGCTGGGGAGGCAGCACCTCAGTGACTTTAATCAAAGACGTTGGACATTAAAGTGTCTACCTTGTCTTGGGACCTTACCTGGAGACCATTTGAAAGAAAAGGTCTCGCTTGGTTTGAAAAAAACAAGTGTTGCAGATAAATTTTTAAAACGACATTTTAAAAACAAAAAGTACGCAAAACCAAAAATCCCCCAAAGAACAAAACTCTTAAAAGCCAATAATTCAAATGACCATCTAGAAGGGCGATTGGGTGAGCACTGTAAGTAAGCAGTACATACCACCCCCCACCCACATAGTACCTGTATTTATTCGTTTGACTATAACTTCCAGCAATGGGGCTGGATGGCCACATTCCTGGCAGACAGCAACGGGAAAAGCGGGTGCCATCTATTAAACCCGTAGACAATTCCTTTCTGAGCCAAGAAACTTCAGACCTGCCTCTCCTGGTATTATGTTCTATGGTCCACGTCCCAATAGAGGCGTGGCAGCTCAGGCTTCAGACTTTTCCTGGTGGTGCATTTCTGCATATTAAACAGGAGCTTACAAATAGTCAATGAATCCTCTGCTCCCATGCTTGATCTCTCTCTCTCTCTCTCTCTCTCTCACACACACACACACACACACACTCTGAAAGGAGAGATGCTAGGCTGGCAGTTGCCCTCACTGGAGACATTCAACGATGTGTTTTTTGTCTATTCACTCACAGTATTGACATGAGCCATTAACATCTGCAGAACTTGTTTTAGCTGGCAAAAGTTAGGTATCTGGGAATTGATTTAAAAGGTCAATTTGTTTCCAAGATTGTTGAATTATATTCAAAGTACATTTCCATAAAGTGCTAAAAGAAAAATAACCGAAAAATGAGATTTCCGGTAAAGAGTATAACTCACTTCCTTTTTCAAGTGCAAAGAATTTGAGTGGTGCTAATATCTTCTGAAAAGGCTTTAAATAAGAAGCCAAAGGAAATGTAAGGCTCATCAACCACAAGTCACATCATTCTGGTTTGGAAGAGGGCACAGATGTGGGTCTTCATTTGTGCTTACTATATACTTTACACCCCCATTAGTACTTAACATTTTGCTCACTTCTTTGCAGACTGCCAAACAATCTAGGTTTTAAAATGGAAAGGGGGAGTGCTCATATTTCATTTTTATAAAATTCAATTTGTGCCAGCAGTGGCTTTAAATGTCTAAAATCTTCAAAAGCCTAAGTAGCGAAATTATACAAATTGATATGCTTTTGAATGTCAGTGTTTGGGGAGTAAAAGAAAAGTAGAAAAGATAGAAATATAGAGGGAAGTGGAAATAAATATGTTAGAAAATAAAAAAATTCTAAACATACATACAAATATGTGCACACACATGTTTGTGCCATACACATATATGTAAAATTTGGTAAATCTCATTTATGAGATTTTGGTAGGGTATTTTGCTTCTAAATCCAGATGAATCCAGATGATCAAATCTAGCAATGATCTCATAGAAAGCCTTTAAGTTCCAAGTGAAACTGAAGGCTAATTAAGCAGGAAAATCACATAATTTTGGGTATGAAAGAGAGCATCTACCTAATTCTTCACTTGAATTTAATGGATATTTTATTTCACCCATTAGTACTTAAAGTTAGATAAGTTCATGAATTAGCTTGTTTATGTTCCCAAGTATTTGATTATTTCACTTAAGGGGTTATAACCTAATTCCAGATTTATAGTAACTAATAAATAGATCCAGGTCTGCATACTTCAAAATTAAGTTTGCATTTTACTAGCCTGACTCAGAACAACTTTGCTCAGTGAACATTTAGTACAGAGATAAGCATCTTTTTAACAGGGGCAGCACGGAGACTTGAATCAAAAATACAGAAATTTCCAACCAACATGTTAACAGGGAAAGTGTAGAATCCTTTGATTGTTTTTCCCTGGTGCAAAGTACTTCCACCCAGGGAATAATTAGGTCCTGTTTCTCCTTAGAGGGGTGTAAGGCACTGCCAACAGATTAGATGGCAAAGTGGCATCAAGGAACATTTGTAACGGAGCCCTGGCCAGGCTTATGAAGATCTGAGTGCAAGATGACAGCTGTTCTTATTAATTTCTAGAGAGCTGATTGTCATGCTCTGCAACCTGGAAGAGGAACATGAAACTGGTAACCTTTCAAGTTGAAGTATTATGAAGACAGCTTCTGATGATTGAAAAAAATCCTCATGTAGAAGTAAAAGTAATAATTCACCTAGCAGGCTCTTGTATAACCTTTTAGTTTACTTATTTCACCTTGGAAGAAAAGCAAGCCTGGTTATATAATTCTTGGTGGCAACCCCTTGTGAGGTTGGGACAACGTTCTCCAGGAGGCTGTAAATGCTCTGAACCAGCACGGAACAGATGGAATCCACTAGCCAGGGTTCACGGGCCAGGAGCCGATTGGTGGGAACGGGAGTGGCAGCACTCAGTATGACTGGTAGTGCCCCACTCACCACGTGTTTGCTTCCTGCCCCTGCAGCCTCTGCTCTCTGGGTCTGGAGGTCTTAGTTCCGTGGGGAGGAATACTCGCACCAGGAGACACAGCACGGATCCCACTAAACTGGAAGTTCAGAAAGCCTCCTGGCCACTTGAGACTCCTCGTGCCTCTGGAGCAACAGGCAGAGAGGAGTAGTACTGTGTAAATGGTGTGACTGATCCTGATTACAAAGGGAAATTGGAATAGTACTGCAGAGTGGTGGTAAGAAGAATCTGTCTGGAATCTAGGAGATCCCTTAGGCTGACTCTTAGTACTACCATCTCCTGGGACTGGACTGGACTAGCTTGCCCTACTACTGTGCAAACCATTTCTTGATACGACTCTTTTTCTCGTGACAAACACATGTAAGCACTGGCACTGCTTCTCTAGATCACCCAGCCCAACTCCCACCCCCGTGGGAAGCGGTTCTGATCCAACATACAAGGGGCCGCCAAGGCTTGCGATCAACTTGATGGCAAGTAGAACTCGTGGTGTCAGTCTGGTATCCACGGGCCACACACAGCTATTGCATGCCTGAAATGGGGCTGGTCGAAATTGAGATGTATGTTCAGTGTAAAATACAAATTGATTACATCGGCAGTGATAATATTTTGAATAGGTTGGATTGAGTAGCAAAATACCTTCAATAAAATTAATTGGACCTTTACTTTCTTATTTTTGCTAATGCGGCTCCTAGAAAAATTTAAATTACACATGTTGTATTGTGTTTTGATTAGTAATCTTACAGCAGGCAAGAATCAGGCTTGATTTACAGTGTAGTATATCAAGATAAGTAAATCTGTAGATAATAGAAATCAAAGTTTTGAAACATAAAATGTACACCAAGGTACTTGCATTTGTCCTGATTTTATTTTTTGTTTCCACCCAGGACAAGAACTGTCAACCTAGGTTTTGTGCTTATTTTTGTTTTTCTTCTCTAATATGTTCCATATATGTATTGTCCCTAAACAGTTTCTGTTGTGTGTTTTTGAGTAATATAGATATATATGTATGTATATATATGTATCTCTGTGTATATATGTACATAAAGCTGCAGCTTGACAAGACAGAAACACGACATGCCGTCCCAGGTTATGACTGTCCGACTTCTGCTTGCCTCTACTGTTAGGGAAATGTGCTCACTTTGACACGGCTCCATCCACCCCAACTCCCTGCACATGCTTTTGCGCAGTCACCGTCGTGTGCCACACATGCAGCTTCCACAGCACCGAGGAGGTTTTGAGCGGAACCATTTCTCACAGAAAAGTAGAGCTAAGTCAGTAAGAACTATGGGCACCTTTCCAAACTTACCTACAAACTCTCAGAGACACAATGTGACTCCCGGGACAGCCTGCACTGTACCCACAACTCTAAATGGACAGATCTTTTTAATATTTATCTTAGTTCATTATTAATGGGGAGTTCAGACATATATCGTATCATTCCAGAGTTCAAACGTGAAGCAGTATTATACAATTGCTACCACAATCCGTTTGCAAACCATCTTTTTCTTCCTGGACTCCTGGACATCGTCTCCCTTTACCCCTCCCCCAAACGCCTATCCTACTTGCTGACCCTAGAGGCTTGTCAAGCGAGGTTTTGCAGTACCGAAAGACAGAAAGACATGTTCCTATCAAAGTCACACAGCATTGAAGCTTCACATTAGTGAGTCTCCACGGCTGACCCCTTGATGCCGCCCCTTTTGAAACGAAACTGGGCAAATCAGGGGATAAGACACCGAAGGCAAATATGTGAGTTGTGAACAAAGTTGTGTAAAGTGGCAAAGCTTCTAAACCTACACCGGCGATTACCTCAATGATATAGAGGACGATATTCTTGTAGAAGCAGTACAGGATGCACTTGGAGACTCTGTTGTAGTTCCAGGAACCATGAACCATCAATAGATTCTTTAGATACTTGAACTGAAAAAAGAAAAGGGGAGGGGGTGGTTACGATTTTCTTCTCCACGGCGCTGGCAGACTGCACTGGCAGACTGCGCGCACTGGCGAGTCTTTGGGAAAGGAGGCTTTACCTGCGCTATGGAGTAATCAGAAGAATTGGCTGCCTGCAGACCTTCGTTGCCGCTGATCCCGACACCAACGTGCGCCGTCTGTATCATGCTGACGTCATTGGCTCCATCACCAATCGCCAGCGTTATGACTTTGACTTGTTTCTTAACCATCTCAACAACCTCGGATTTTTGAAGAGGAGAAACCCTTGAATTAAAACAAACGACCAATTACCTCTGCTTTCTGAACAAAAGGGATGTTGGAATTTTATCGTGTCCCAGAAGAGGCAGCTGAAGATCTAAATGAATAGCTCTTCAACGAGAACCATTTGTGCCAAGTCTTAGGTTTGCGAAGGGTTAGTTCTTTGTTAACCTGGTTATGACTTGAAGGGAGATGAGAGAGAGAGAGAGAGAGAGAGAGAGATTGATTTTCCAGACAAATGGCCAGGTAATAGAAGCTAGAATGTCTTGTTATTAGAATAAATAACATTTATTCCATAGAAGCCATTGTGAATCAACATTTCATTATTTTCTAACAAGTACAACAGAATATCTAATGCTTTATTTTTACACTGAAAAAGTAAGTCATAAAAGCTGTTGTTGAATGGCAGCCGAAACCTAACTCTTAGAAAACTGAAAACAATCCCCCTGCCCCCAAATTCTCTGCCATCAGGTGGATTCAGATACAAGGGTTTTAAAAACTATCTCTTTACATGGGCAGACAGCCTCATCTTTTCCCTACAAATACTATATAGTACTTGGATTATAAAAGTTTTGGACCTCAGAAAGCTGATTTCAGATAAGGTCCCACACTCGTACAACAACTTAAAACTCAAATTGAAAACAGGGATTTGGGTAACCTTTTGAAGTTCTCTTACACTACCCTCAGCTGGGGAATTTCAACCCACGAAGACACAGACGCCTGTGACGGCAGTTCACGTGTCTCAGGGCTCTTCCAAAGCCGATGGTTGACTAATGGCTGAGCACAATCCAAGCAACTTCTTTTTCTATGTTTTATTTCAATAAGTCATTTTATTGGGGGTTATTACAGGTCTAACAACAATCCATACATCAACTGTATCAAGCACATTTGTACATATGTCCAAGCAACTTCTTATACAGCTCCCAAATCATATTGGTGTTAACGTTGATGTGACTTACTGAAAATTCCTAAGAGGCCATTGAAGAAAATAAGAAAAGACAAGCAAGGAGGAGTTCAAAGACAGCATGCATTAGCATCCCTAGCTTAACATAGCACCCACATTGTATTGACTATTAGAAAGAAAGGAAGAAGGAACAAGGAACTGGCCCCAGCAAGCTACTATGATCGTAACTAAGTAGTAAAAAAAACTCAGCTCACACAATTTTAAAGAAACAAAATCTCAGAACTAAATTCTGTATTAAGGTTAAGTAGTGTAAATGTCTAATATCTGCTAGAACACCTGGTAATACTTTATTATTCTCCTTAAAAATAAAAGACAATTTACTTGGGAAGATCACTAGTTCTTTGCAACTTCTTTGGACTATATCTTTGGGAAAACTTTCTCTCAGCGGGCATTCTGCACAAACACGTGTGGTCAGGTGGCTCCTTTCCAGAGCTCTGGATTTTATTTCAAGACGGAGCGGCTCTGCATTAGACCGTGAGCTGCTGGCTGTAGGAACCGTTCTCTGTCTTTGTGTTCCGACTGTCGGATCCAGAAGAGGGACACAATAAATGTTGGCTATGTGAGTGATTTTTAACTTTTCTTTAGATTTCCTGGCAAAAGCACAAAATGACACTACCGTGAATACAGCAAAGAAACGAATGAGTAGCAGGCATTAATGGGCGCGCTCATGGAGAGCCCCAGGTTTCTTCAAAGCAATTTTCATTTATTTTGCATGTTTTATTTAATTTCTCCGAACAAGCTAATACAAACTGGTGAGTGCACTGGCTCCCATTCAACATGTTGAACAAGTCCTGTAGCTGACATCTATCAAACATCAAAAAAGAGGGCTCACCAAGGGAGTCGGAAAGGTAAATGGGAAACGGACAGGAGAGGAAGGGAGCACTTGAAAAATCTTTATCAGGTTCCCCGCACAGGCTAACAGCGTAACTATATGTGACGAGGTCACACCATGGGATCAGTAGAACCTGGAAACCACAGCACTGTTTTCATAAGCTGAACACAGAATGACAGCAGCGATGTAAAGATGCACCTGAAAAGAGCTGGATGAACCTTGCTTCGTCATGAGCATCACCCACCGCTGCTTTCTCCCCGACACTGCAATTTTCAATACAGTGAACCCTCGCCACTTCGCGCTTTGACTTCCGTGGCTTCACTCTATCGCGGTTTTTGCGTAACAGCACCCACTGCCTAC